TTTATGGAGTTTTATCTTCTTTTGGAGGTTTTCGAAGTTTAATACGTCAACTTTCAAACCAAAAATTGAAATGGGATTAATCGCTAGAGTGAAACGATTACACAATTGCCTAAACAATGATCACGGTGTGCGAAGGTAGATTCAAGCTAGTACAATGCACAATTGTAAACCATAATGGTAAAAAAATCTGGTTGACTATGAGACCTACAAGTCGGACAGAGACGAAAGTCTGCGAGAAGCGTTTAGAGCCCTTGGCAGGGCATGCAATTTGAGTTTTCGATCTGGTGTGGCTATGGCGGAATATCATATCATATATTGAATACGGTGCAACTTGGTACGATTGTACACAAAACTGTAATAATCATTAATTACAAACACATTGTACATCTGATCAACTTTTTAAAGAATCTTTGGAATGTGTAACTTCACTTAGGATAATTTGGCACGTGGTTTACTCGTTTGACATAAAATTCAGATCTATTTACGTTTTTTAATTATATTAGAAATAGGTGTTCCCATTGTAATATTGTTTTTTCCAAGACTGGCAAGTGTACACAAAGATTTAACTTTATGTCAAGCTCTATCTTTGAGGGTATTTTCAAATTAATACAAATATCATGTAACGAGTTGCAAATTTGTTTGACCAAATAATAACCAACCATGTTTCTTCAGGGGTTTCTCACCTGACAACCTTATAATTTTATCCTCTCATATAGGGATAGATCCACGGCCCTCTGACAACTTGAGGGCCATGAGATGAAACTCTCCTCTCGCCTCCTTGCTATCGTATTGCCCCCACAATTTTTGTTTTTCACCCAACGAGTCCGTCGGAGGTTTAGCCTCATGTAGTTTTAGAGGTTTGGCATTGGATATAATGTTGGGTCAAACAAAGCTTGCATACAGCCCTTACTGGTTCAGTAAATGAGGCTCAAAGGTGATGGTGATTTAAGGTTAGATTTTCAAAGTATACATCTGCAAAACTTATACAATTGTATCTTAGGTAATCATTCTCCTAAACAAATAAACGTGTGAAAATAATATGTTATTAACTTGTTAGAATGCACTCACCTTTCATGTTCATTGAAGTTGTACGACTTTGAGACCAGCGTCATCATGATGGACAATTTACGTTGTCTTCGACCACTCTGGTGTCTTCAGGTCTAAGACTAGTTAGGAGTGTCTGGCTAATAAGTAGTATCTCGAAGCCTTCAACACTTCGTATATTTTTCAAAATTTTTTCTTCTGTGGGTTGATGCAACCTACTTTTTAAGGAAGTTTTTTATATATCAAATTATCAATGATAAAATCCTCTTTATTATTATTTTGTAATATAGTCCTTATTCCATACTGACCTATATTAATAATCAGAAACGGTAAAGAGAGATTTATGATCTTTACAACATGGTATTATATACAACACAAGTAAAACTAAATAAGTTGCTTTTGCATTTGTTATAATACTAATTTAATCATAAGATTTAGCTTTAGTCCAATATCCGGTCTAAGGCCAATCGTTGATTTCAGTAACCTTATCTTTTCCAGCCTAGAACCCTTCGGTAAGCGACCTCAATTTTATCGGTTCACAACCTTTCCTTAGAAAATGATATTTTGTTGTTTTCATTTTTCCACATTTTGTCACAAAACTTGTACAAATGTTTTGATTCCTCTTCCAATTCCTTAAGGGAACAATTAAAAGAACTTAGCACTATGGGGGGTTAAAGAGAAGCTAACCTTTGTTATGAAAGAGAGTGAGTTGCAAAAGGATTTAGTTCGCTCTTAGTCTCAGTTTCCTTTACTTATAAACTTAATCTGCGTTGCCACTTGTATGCGCCCTCGTACGAGTACAGATTCGTACTTTTGTACTCGTACGCTAGGGGGCCCATATGAGGTTTTTTTTTTTTTTTTTTTAATCCGGTATTGTTTTGAATTTTTTTCTCAAATTCTAATAAACATTTGAAGATGATGCTCAGCCAAATATTGCTTGTTTTGTACTGTTGCATCACATATTGTTTTTTCGGATTTTTTTGATGAGTTTTTTTTGTTTTTGTTTTTTTTTTGCTTTTCCGTACGGGGGGGCGCACAAGACGTACAAGTTCCCATACAGATCCCGTACAGATATTAACTCTACGTTTCGTACGGAAAGGCCCCTTACGTGCACGTTATGCAACGCGGAACTCAATAGAAGTAATTACGTTTCCTATTGGGAAAACCTTATATTGTGTTTTTTTATTGTCATGCACGTCACACACAACAAGATTTGTTATTCTTTTCGACTTTGTTTTCCATCTATTCATTGTTTTCCAAGGTTTGCTACTAACAATTTCAGTGTGTAAAATGTCTCATGTCCTTTTTCCTTTAACACTGTTAAGGGTTTCTTTCCCAACCTTAGCTTACATGACGTTACCCTCAACTTTTATTTTGCTATGCTGATGGTTATTGCTCCCCTCTTCCTAGCCGAGAAACGTTCCAATATTATGACCTTCATACAAAATAAGGTGGTAATTTATTGCCCCGCCATGGAGTTTTTTCCCTTTATTGTTTTTACGTACATCTTTTTTTTTTTTGTCGCGACTCGACTTTTATAATAATGCATTTCTCTAGAGTGAACAAACGTGCTCAAGATCTTCTTTATGCACGCTAAGCACCTACATGAGCTTCGTTGCCTTACCAATAAGTGTGTACGCTGCATCCTTTACAACATTACTGACATTTTTTCTCGAGCAATTGTTCCTAAACTCTTTTGACGACTTCATGTAGTATTTGTTGCATTCCCCATCACTCAAAATAGATCATTGAAGTCCTTTGTACAAACTTGAACAAATATTAGCATCAATGCTCAAACGAAAAATTGGAAAGATTTTGTGATTGTGAGGAACCCTCACTATTACGTAGTAACTTATAATTTACCTAGACAAGTTGTTCTTTAATTTTTTTACTTCTTTGAGTTTTCCTTATGGATTGATGATGAATTTTTTGACTACTTGGGTGCGACAACTAAGGATTCTTGCCGCTATTGTTTTCATTTATTGTTTTGCCTAGCAAGTTAGTAACTTCATTCTTTGACCAATAATATTTTATCAACTTCTTTGTTGCCCTTGTGTGGAGTAATTGGCAAAATTGTCATGAATACAGTTAAACTCTAGGTTACCTGATCGGACGTCCGGGGCCCCGCTGACCATCCGGGGTGGTCCGATCGGACAACTGGTCGGACGTCCTCCCCGGGCAGTCTGTCCGAGCCCGGAAAAAAGTCCTCAGAAAAATCTGAAAAAAAAAGTATGTTTTTATGAAAAACAAACTGAACAACTTTTGCCTTGGAATCATACCGAAATTCGCTGCCAATTTTAAAATAAAAATAAAATAAAATAAAAACTTTTTTGTTTTTCACTTTTTTCGTGCTTTTAATTGCTAAAAATGGAGTTGTCCGGGCCCGAACGTCCGGGACCCCCCTGACTGTCCGCCCAGGACGTCCGGCCAGGACGTCCTGCCATCGGACAACTGGTAGCCTAGGTTAACTTAAACTCTAAATTCAGTTTTGGACACTTTACCCAGGGCCTGAAATTGGGGGTCCCTGACGAGTTTATTTATGATTTCATAGCTAAATTGTTTGTACATTTTGGGTATGAAGTTTCTTTGAAAAACTTTAGACAAAGATGCTATATCCATTTTGGCTCCATATGAAATTTCCAATTTTCCACCACATTTCAAAAATTGGCAAAGCAAACAAGTATACTTCGAAGAGGCTTTGTGTACCATTATGCTTTTGTCATGTTTATCGGCTTAACCATATGTATTACTATAATAGGTCTTTGGGACTTAAAATCAATGACTTCGAATTAATTGATTGAAACAACAATATGAAGAGTGAGTTGGGTACAAGTACAACCGTACAACATATAAACAAAAAATTGCTGAGATATAGATACTTCTTCGGAAGTAGTATTTTTTTAATTTTTTTTATTACATCAATGTGATTAACCACAATAGTACCACATCCAAGAGAGTTGTAAGGACTCTTCTAGAGTTAGGACTCTTCTAGAGTATTCTAGAGGATATCATTGCGTTGAGGTGCTAAGTAAGGGCTAGGGTCGAGTGTGCCCGATATAGCGGTAGGGTTATAGGGTGTACAAGAAAGGTGGCAATCTGAGATATACAAGGTTACTGGAAAATATATTGAAAAGCAATGCTGTGTGTGTGTGTGTGTGTGTGTGTGTGTGTGTGTGTGTGTGTG